ATTGCAAAGTTTCAAGAAAACTGCAATGGTAGCAGGTGACACACCCCGACCCAGAAAGTCCACTTGGACCCTGAATCGAGCTGTGCTGGCCGACACCTGGAAGGTGACGAAGCCATAAAATGTGATAGTGCATAAAAAGTGGATAAATTTGAATCTAAAAGTGTCTAAATACCAGAGTGCGCTACGAGTGGGAGCGAACCCATTTCACGCGCGATGTCAGAGCATAAGTAAGGTACAGTAATGTGAGTAAGAATCATACCCTCAAAAATATCCATCAATACTAAGATTCGCCACAGATTTTTGTCGATACAAACTCAGCAGCTAAAACCTGGAGGGCACCAAAGAGAAGGTGTGAGTAAGCAATAAAACCAAGCTTCCCAAAGTTACTACCTCTCTAAAAGTAATGCCCCTAAATGTACAACCCGTATCGTTTTCCGTAAGACAGTACAACATATATACATATATCCAAACCATACTCGGAAATGACCCAAACCACGGTTTGCCATCAACTCCACCATACATCAATAAGTAGGCCAAATGAACTAAATCAATACAAAATGATATATCAATCAGAGTCAGCTAAAATGACATGTACAACTTATCTGTATCTCATCAATCATGGCTAGTATATAAGTCGGAGTCGCCTATAGTGACCTGTACGACTTATCCACATCTCGTCAATCCTGGCTAGCATATAAGTCGGAGTCGCCTATAGTGACCTGTACGACTTATCCACATCTCGTCAATCCTGGCTAGCATATAAGTCGGAGTCGCCTATAGTGACCTGTACGACTTATCCACATCTCGTCAATCCTGGCTAGCATGTAAGTCGGAGTCGCCTATAGTGACCTGTACGACTTATCCACATCTCGTCAATCCTGGCTAGCATGTAAGTCGGAGTCACCTATAGTGACCTGTACGACTTATCCACATCTCGTCAATCGTGGCTAGCATGTAAGTCGGAGTCACCTATAGTGACCTGTACGACTTATCCACATCTCGTCAATCTTGGCTAGCATGTAAGTCGGAGTCGCCTATAGTGACCTGTACGACTTATCCACATCTCGTCAATCTTGGCTAGCATGTAAGTCGGAGTCGCCTATAGTGACCTGTACGACTTATCCACATCTCGTCAATCCTGGCTAGCATATAAGTCGGAGTCGCCTATAGTGACCTGTACGACTTATCCACATCTCGTCAATCTTGGCTAGCATGTAAGTCGGAGTCACCTATAGTGACCTGTACGACTTATCCACATCTCGTCAATCCTGGCTAGCATGTAAGTCGGAGTCACCTATAGTGACCTGTACGACTTATCCACATCTCATCATAACATGTGCAACACATGGCAACCAGTACGACAGTATCGAAGTTGCCTAACTCATAACTGTAGTCATGCTATAACTCAATCGATTCAATTAATACCATAAACTCACCTGAACTTACCTGGGTGTCCTGAGTTCACCTTTGCACTTGAAAGCATTCCCAATAATTATAAGCAAGTAATATACATATGGATATATCATGATGCAATCTACTACTCAACCATGTCGTAGCATTTTCAATTATAAACACTATGGTGTGAAGTGTACAATCAATAACGCCATACTCCCAAACTACTTATTTTCAGGGATAATTATCCATAACAATCCAATTAACTCTAATTTAACTAACTAATTCACAAAACTAAAACTTGTCTTTACCAATTTCCTTCGCATTACTCAATTTCCCAAGCAAGGCTTTTGTCTCAAATATTTTATGGCTGCATCTAACGTCTCGTTAGACTGCCTACGTACCCTAAACAGGGATCAAGCCATTCGTAGTTCACATTGTACGTCAAGCATTCACAATAATTATATATGAAAGTAATATGCCTAATCAATTTAAAGGTGTCGATAGAACTCTCAATAATATGCACAATAAAAAGGAAAAGATCCACTCACCTGGAGTCCACGCTATACTACTCTAGCACGCGCATCGAGGCGTCCTGAATGATCGGTCCCTGTGGCCAATTATCAAATCACATCTCAGAACTCTTATCTGAAGAATATGCAATTCACATAAAACACAACCTCGACGACTTTCTAAAATAGGTTGAGACCTATTGACCACAAGTCAACCGTCGATCAAAGATCGACGGTAGGGTTTACAACCCTGTATAACCTGACCCGGAGATCCGCATATCAGATTTCCAATCTGCAACTTCCAATGATCCACAATATGTTTCTAGAATAACATCTTAAAATTTCATTACGATCCAACGGTCAGATCTTCGCCAATTGCCTAAAACAAGTGGCCGTGAACATTTATTTTACTAACTTACAAATCCAATTCAGGAAGATCCGTAAGTCGGATTCCCGATCCGTAAATTCCTATGATCTTTAAATATTACGTATTATAATGTATCCAATTTTGGTGACGATCCAACGGTCGGATCATCGATTCACATTTTTATCAAGTAGCGTATTATAACGAATTTAGGTTCCAACGATCAACCTACGTCATTCAAATGACAAAACTGAATTCAAAACATTCGACATAGCCTAAAAATAGCATTGGCGGCTCACCGGCCACGCGCCGCCGCACGCGCCGCCGCGGGTGGCGGTCGGCCGCCCCGACTCGCCGGAAAAATCCAACTAATTCCAAAAATTATCAAACTTCACAGAAATGAAGATCTCAGTGAGTGGAGCAACTTTCATACCTGCCACGAAGTCCAAAAGTGGACGGAAGATGGTCAATTTTGCCCACGAAGCCGGCGGGTGCCTAAAACTTCCCGACGTCGATTCGTCGTCTACGGTGGTCCAACGGGGTCAAGGTTGGTTGGGTTTTGCTCCTGGGATGATGGGCTACAAAGCCCAAGTGGTGGCATCGGCCATCGCTTTGCCGATTTGCCGGAAAATGGAGAAGGGTGGCCGGAGCACCATTGATTTTCGTCAACTTTCGTGGCCTCAAACCTCCACATCCCGTGGTCAATCAAGGTGGTTCTTGGGTGGGTTTTGTAGAGGGGAATGAGAGCTTCAAAATGGTGGTGGTGGCATCGAAAAACTCCACCGGAGTTGGCCGGAATCGGCCTTGGAATATGGCCTCGCGGTGGTGCGGGTATGGGTGCACGGGAAGCCTTTTTCCCTTTTTTTTTTTTTTTTTTTTTTTTTTTTTTTTCTTTTCTTCTCTCTTTCTGATTGGGCTTCCATTAATTTAAATAAACACTCACCTTGAATAACCAATTTCGAACGTCCGTAACTATACCGTTATAATTCGGACTCGCAAACGGTTTTCGCCTATACGTTCGTACCAATGAGTACTACGAGGATATGCTAAAAGAATAAGTCCCACATCTCTCAAGTCAATGGTCAACAGAAGTCAAAGTCCGTGCCTCTAGGGCAATTTCGTAAACTCACGCTTTTAAAATAAATTAAAAATGTAAAATTTGGAACGGGTTGTCACAGCAGGCGGGATGGTGGTGGTGTTTATGATCGATGGAAGACTATCAACAAAGCATGCACTTTATGGAAGGGAAGCTTGGAGAGAGCCGTGGTTGGCATGGCTAGTGGGAGGAGCGCCATAGAAATTGTGAGTTTTGTTCTTGATATTTTATTTGTCATGTACATAATATTATGTTGCAACTAATTATTTTTATGTATTTTTTGCATAGGGTGACAAAGCAATGGAAATTTACAAGACAAGAGTAACACCAAAAAATCAAGTTTTTAAGTTGCAACATGCTTGGGACATCCTCAAGGATTGTCCAAGGTGGGGAACCGATGCGGACCAACAATGGGGAAGATTATTTCAACGTGAAGCTGCACAGACAAATGCCGGAGATGAAGGTGTTGTTGAAGGTGTCGATGAAACGACCCCATCTCCTTCTTTTGCAAGGCCCCCAGGAAGAGATAAGCAAAAGGAAGCAAAGAGAAAAGGGAAGTCCCAAGATCTGATGAGTGGACACTTTGATACCGGAATGGCAAAATTGAACGAGACTCATAGCGCTCGCCAAGAAGAAGCGGCTCGAATGCGTTTGCAAATGAAGGAAATCTCGGATAGGGAGGAAAATAGGTTTGAAATTGAATTCATGATGAAGGACCTCAGCCAATACACTCCAGAGAGGAAGAAGTTCTTATGTGATAAGCAAAAGGAAATTATGCGAAAGTCTGCCTCAAGGAGTATGTTTCAAGATGATGAATCTTCTCAACCCTATATCCCAACATTTCAACGAAGTCCATCACCAAGTGAAGATAGTGGATATTAATCATGTGCTTTATTAATTATGTACTTTATTAATTAAGTTTATTAATTATGTACTTTATTAATTAAGTTTATTAATCATGTGCTTTATTAATTAAGTTTATTAATTATGTACTTTATTAATTAAGTTTATTAATTATGTACTTTATTAATTAAGTTTATTAATTATGTACTTTATTAATTAAGTTTATTAATCATGTGCTTTATTAATTAAGTTTATTAATTATGTACTTTATTAATTAAGTTTATTAATTGTGGTTTGTGAATTATAATTTATGTCTTATTAATTATCCAATAATTTATGTCTTATTATTCCCCACTTTGATGTAGAATAGATGCCTTCAATAATTCAACCTCCATTTTATCATTTATCCAACGTACTAGACAAAATACTTTGCACAAAAAGACACTTAAATTTATTACTAGAAAATAACAACATAGTACACTTAAAATTATTACATAAATGCATAACCAACATCATCAACGTTCACCTTCTCGGCGCCATACATGCTCAACCAAATCTTTACGGAGTGTGTCATGACATTGAGGAGCTTGAATTCTATTTAAACGTCTCATATACTCACTCAAGGTGACCCTATCCTGTCGGGTCTCATATGTGGTTGGAGCGAGATATTCAACATCTCTTGCAATAGCTCTTGCATGTGTTGGTTGGTCATCATCCACATCTTCGTCTGAATCTTCTTCAATTTCAATGTACTCATCTTCCACAATCATATTGTGCAAAATTATGCACGTCATCATGATTGAATGGAGGTCTTCGGACTGCCAAAATCGTGCAGGCCCTCTAACAATGGCCCATCGAGCTTGTAGAATCCCAAACGCTCTCTCCACATCCTTCCTGTAAGACTCTTGCCTCTGCGAATATAATTTCTTCTTTGCATTATCAGGATGAGAAAAACTTTTGACAAAAGTAGACCAACTAGGATAAATACCATCAGTTAGGTAGTAACCTAGCTCATACCTATTACCATTTACCTTGTACCGAAATTCTGGTGCCCATCCATTGACAACATTATCGAATAAAGGAGAAGACCAAAGAACGTTGATATCGTTGTTTGATCCAGGAGCGCCGAAGAAAGCATGCCAAATCCATGTGTCGTAAGACGCCACAGCCTCGAGCACGATGGTTGGCTTGTCATGACGGCTCTTGAATTGGCCAGCCCAACCAGTAGGACAATTCTTCCACTCCCAATGCATACAATCGAGACTTCCTATCATGCCAGGGAAGCCTCTTTTTTCTGCCTTGCGTAGAAGCCTCTTCAAGTCTGCACGATTTGGGTTGCGGAGGTATGTGGCTCCATATATGCCTTCAATTGCCTTACAGAAGCGCTTCAGGTTCTCAATAGCAGTACTTTCTGCAAGGCGGCAATACTCGTCAGTTGAGTCTGCAGAGCATCCATTACCTAGCATGCGAAAAGCAGATGTGAGCTTCTGATGAGGTGATAGACCTTGTCGGCCGGTGGCATCTACCCTCCGTTCAAAGTATTGGTCATGATTGACAACTGCATTCAAGATGTTTTCAAAAAGCTCTCTCCTCATCCGAAACCGCCTCCGAAAATCATGAGCATGAAATCTCGGACGCTCGATGAAATAATCTTTCATCATTCGATCATGACACTCTTCTCTATCACGCTGCACATATGAACGCCCCGTGACAGAACCACGATGGCTAGATTCGCCATTGTGCTCAGATTGCATAAACGAGTTGAATAGTTCAACTTCAGCATTGAACAATTCTGCATCCTCAATCTCCATCCTTGCTTGGTATTGTGCCATCTGCATTGCCATACTATGCCTTCTTCTATCACCCATTGATGAGATATTGAGGATTTTTAGGAAACAAAAACTCTTTGAAAGTTGAAAATGGGTGAATATAAAGGATGATTGAAGGTTGAAAGGTTGTGTGATCAACAAATATTGGACATATGTTTATATAGAGGATGATTTCTGAAAGTTTGGTGGTGAATGGTTGGTTGAAAGTTTGGTGTTTATATAGTTGGTGAAAGTTGAAAGTGTGGTGTTCAACGGTTGGTGAATTGAAAATTTGGTGTTCAAAGTTTGGTGAATTGAAAGTTAGCCTAGGGTTGAAAGATTGGTAAAAGTTGACGGCTTGCTTTGTGGGAAATTTAGTGATTTTTCAATATTTATCGGAATTTAAATTTTTTTAGATTAAAATGTTCATAAAATTAATTTACGATAGTCTACATATTTATTTTTTTAAAAAAAATTAATTTAACAAAAAAAATAGCATAAGTTCATTCTTTAATAATCCCGGGCTAAAATTTTAGGCCAGAACGGTTGGAGCAGAAAAGTTGTTTCTGGGCTAAAAGCTAAATTTTCCGGGCTAAAAAATTTGGCTTTTAGCCCAACCATTGGAGATGGTCTTAATGATTAACTTAACAGATTTTTAACTGATGTATGAAATTAAAATGAAATAATGATAATTGTATGAGATTGAAATGTTTATATATATATATGTGCAATTGCATACAAACTTAAGGACCTATAATGTAGCTTTTTTTTTTTTTTTTAATTCCAAAACAACTATTTAATTAGTCAATCCAAAGTTGTATGTTGTGAGAGTGCGACTTTTGGAGCTCCCATTTACTCAATACATTGAATTTGTCAGAAATTCTAGCAAGTGCAGTAATGTGTAAAATAATGGTATGAAAGTTTTATATTTACCTCCTTTTTCTAGTTTAATATTGTATTTTGTTTTTTAATATATTCTTAGTTGAAAAGTGAAAACAATCCCATTCCAGATTAATGAGGGTTTAACTTTGTGGAACATGCTCTGTATTTTTCTTCTAAAAATTGGTACCATCTTTAACCCATAGTTCAAAATTATACTTAAACAACATATTAGACCCTCATTAAGATATCTACTCGTAGTGAAGAAAACACTAAAGTGTGAACTATTTATAGATTGGTTAAATAGTTATGAATTTGAGTATTTTTTTTACAAAGATGATTTTTAAGAAAATATATAAAAACAGACGATTCAGATCCTCAAACAACAATGTGGAGTAGGCGCTACATATTTGAGGAATTATCAATTGAAGCTCATTATATAATACACTACCAGAAACAATTTGAAATATTTCATAGTGCTTCAGGACCGCACAATGCAGATGCAGACCTTTTGTTGCAAAATTTTACAATGGAAGAGGATGCGCTCTGGACCTTAGTGTCCGGAGCCTCCTCATCAAGCAATTTGGGCCGCTAATTCGTGTGCAAGTCAAATCAAGGTCATCAGTTGTGTGTGGTGGGCTAGGAAAATGAATTAATAGAAACCGTTGGATTCAATTTGTGTGGCCCAGATTGTTTGATGAGGAGGCTCCGAACACTAAGGTCTGGAGCACATCCTCTTCCTTTTACAATAACTGCCACTAGCTATAACCTAAAAATGGCAACGACAAAACTCAAGAAGGTTGAGGTTCCACCATAAAACCAATTGGCAATATGGGGAGCAGCTTAACTAATTATAAGCACATGCATGGTCTCTCCCCTCATCAATGTAGGATTCATTCTTAATACGTTCCCTCATGTGTGATGAATTTTCAAACTAACACGTGGACAACACAAACGGGGTGATGTGGAGCGCATGTGGCCCATTTGGCTTCAACATAGGACAACCTGCTCCAACACCATAAAGAAAGTTGAGGTTCTATCATAAAACCAATTGGCAATATGAGGAGTAGTCCACCTACTTATAAGCACATATAAGATCCCTCCTCTCAACAACTTGCGATTCATTCTCAAGAACTTTCTCTTGCCAAATTTATGATAAACGAACAGAATTGAGGGCCCATGAGCATGCATGCATGTCTAAGTTTATGTTTAATACTTGGTTTTTCCTTGCAACCATTAAGATCTTCAAACGTGGCTGCTATAGTTATCTCAGAAAAATTGACAAATCTTTTAACATGTCATTTGTACATACCAATGGGCAACCTTCACATTTATTATTCCTTCGAACTGATTTATTAGGTAATGACCAGCTGGTAATCCATGACCAGTTGAATTTAGGTGAGTTGCAAAGGATTAAACACATCAGAGCTTAACTTAAAATGGTCGTTATAGACACGACCATAGTGGGTCTATAGGGTTTCTAAATTAGAGAATTTAGGTTAAGATCAATATTTTATTAAAAAGAATATAATGAGTTAATTTTGGTTTTGAGTTAGGTTAATGGCCCTTATTTATTATTTAGGTATAGGTCAATGTGGAATTTCACAGGAGTTTCATATAGTTATAAATGTTGGGAAAATTGTGATTTTTTCCTTGATATTTCGACTTAAACTTAGAACATGTTCTTGAATCTCAGATCAGATGCTGCATTGTAGTTTTTATTCTGCAATTCTTCGGATTCTAACTCTGCACTTTTTAAACTCATTAGTTTGCTTGATTTAGTTGAGGTTGGTCACAACCTAGAATAGGAAGGTGACTTTCGTTAGAGCCAAACCCAGCTTAACAAAGAGAGTTCACTCGACTTGGTGTAAAATTAATGATAGGGCATAATAGACTAAAAATGCATGCAAGTTTTATCGGGCCAAGGCCAAGCATCTCGGCCTTGTGTCACTCCAGACTCCAAACCAAGCGTCTCAGTCCCATGACACGGCTCGAGACCAAGCATCTTGGCTTTGTTGTTAGAAAATTTTGCATAATCTAAGTTCATTTGACCAACACGCAATCTGATCTAGATATGGACTTAATCAGATCCTTATAAGTCTTGGAATTCCTACAATTTAGGAATTGGCATGTGCCGCAAGTAATCACAACTCGTAAGAGGGTGCAATATCTACTTCTAGATATCCTCTAAGATTCTCCCAACTTAGAACAAGGATTCTATCCTAAAAGGGTCTCTCTCCCCACATATAAATACAACCATCTAAAGTTCGTCTCTGGTAACGCAATCTCAATGCTCTAATTTTCTTGTCTACCACTTGAGTCTAAAAATTGTTTACAAACTTGACTGTCAGAAAGCCTTTGACCAGTCTTAGGCTTAGGCTTGCTTATGGTTGTTCTTTTTGGTCATGGTTGTTCTTTATTTTACATGTTGCTCGAGTTTGTGCCTCCACCATCCATAGCGGCACACAAATTTAGTTCTAGCAATTGGTGTTTTCATTGTGAAAGAACTCATATTCCTCTCGACTAAATCACTTAACCTCTGTGGAAACCTTTCCTAGATGATCACCTAGCAACGTGACATCGTCACATCTGATGGAGATGCCTCATTCATAGATCAAGTTTAGGACAACGTGCTAAAGGTACTTGTGTCGATGAAATACCTTTGAGAAGTTTATGATCCAAAGAACGAGCGAGATTTTCCAAACTCGAAATGCGAATGAAAGAAATCAAAATACCGTCATCCGTTCTGCGAAACCACCTATCCAAACTCTAAAGAGGATGACTGATCAGGATTTAGGTATTGCCATCTCGAAAACTCGCTCCCAACGCACGTCGTTGGAAGCCTCAGAAAAACCAAAAGCAGCTCCCAATTCGATACTGGGGGGAACTATTCCCCTGGATCAACCACTTAGGTGGGAAGCAGAATTGCTTCAAAAGAACAAAGAATGAAAAGAAGACAACGTACAAAGGATCCCAATTGAAAACCACGATCAATAAGCCACTAATGCCTACATGCCCCTACACTCCATTGCTCTTCAAGTGGGTCACGGGGGCTGTCACTTCGGTCACGACGGCATCCTTGTCGTTAAGTTACAAATCCTCGATGCCATGGTCAATGGAGTTCTGATATACAACGGGTCACAAGTAAACATCATCTTCAGGTGTTTGACTTAAAGAATAGATATCCTAAATAGGGTTAAGAATAGAAGAGCAACTATTGCGACTTTCAATGGGATTCCACTCTACACCTAGGAACGATACAGCTTGCAATAAGGGAAAAACCATAAAATTACCTGATAACTTTTCATGTTATGGACTGTCCGCCTATTTACAACGTTATCCTTGGCCAAGATTGGTTACAGAGCGTGGGGTATACTTCACCAATTGACCACCAACTACCCCATCATTCAGTCATGCACCACAAAATGTTAAATGCAAGGAAGACTGAAGTGCTCGTATTAGAGAAGAGGGCACTCCTAAAAAACAAGACCTTCGTAGACGTCTCCAAATCGGCTAAACTAACCTACCATCCGAACTGCACGTAGTTTGATTCCCTTCTCAAGACATGTAGGCAGTCTATTCCAGACTTAATCGCATAGTCGTTGTCTATGTAAAACAAGTTCGTGGAGAACTTATCTCCTCATGCCTCATTATAGGCTTATTGCCAAAAGTGATCCCTGATGTAGTTCTTGCATTAAATCATTTTTTCTTATAATTACACCAGTGATTTGATTCTCTTTCCCAAAGATATGTAGGCAATCCTTTTCGGATTTAATCACACCCATTTACCAATTAACCTTGTTTTATTCATCAGTAAAGAAGTTATGAAGTTTATCTGTTTCATGTATGTCTATTTCTTTTCCTTCTTGGTCATGCAGGGAATACCTCACTCATTCGAACAAAGCATAAACTTTGAAAACTTTGCATGACTGCAAGTCTAAAAATTCAAAATGGCATTGTCAAAGGAGTTTCCCTTAGCCCATCTAATATAATACGGTTAACAACTTGGGAAACACAAAACACATAGCTCCCTGATTTGGAAGTCTAGTGTACCGTTCGGCCTCTGGAAAGTTCGTACAACTAGTAAGGTTGTGGGTTATAATAACTGAACCTTGGCTCTAAGCCATTCATGGAATAGTCAGAAGGGTGATCCGAAAATCTTTTGAGGATGACTTTGAACT